ATACACAGAGAGGAACATTGGTTTAGGAGAAAATTCAAGGAAGCCGCATACATGCTGTCCAACAGCGTATTCAGCCAAGCTAGTGTAGAGATACGCAACATATGGAAACCCATCATCAAGCGAAAAATGGCCAACACCCGCCAAACGTTCATCTCCCACTGAACCAGTGAAGCAGAAAAAATGGAAAGCGGGGATAAGTGAAAGCACTCGAACGACCCATAAATAGTCATTTCTCGGAGTAATCAGTCCAGTCATCACCTGAAGACGATTGTAGATACTAACAATTGAAACGTCGTGAACTAACGTGGCTTGAAATCTCCTAACTTTTTATTTTCATTTTTATTTCTTTATTTTTTGTTCAATCGTTCTATTTTTACTTGTATTTTATTTCACTATTATTTCATTTCAGGTTATTTTTGCTTAATATAATTGTTATTTTCAGCTATTCATTTTTAATTCTTCTTTTTTAGTCGTTTCAGGGATTTCAAATCATTTTATATATCAGACAATGGAAGTCCGAACTAATGAAATTCATCATGAAACATTGTCAATCACCTTCAAATAATAACCTTTCTTGCCGGTACTAAGTGGGGCTGTCGCCAATGCGACGTTGGCGATCTTGGCTGGGATTACCCCTTTACCCGTGTGTGGATCGAATGGAGAAAAGGGCATGAAAGAGCTATTGAAAGAGCATGGCAGGATAAATAAGATAATATGAGTAGTGTAGAATGGTTGGGAATGAAAGGCTTACTCTGTCCAGGAAGATCTTACAACTCATCACGGCAAGCACATAATTGTCGTCTGGGACAAACCGATAAATCAGCTGTAGCCGAATTATTATGCAAAAATATGTAGAGAGACAATTGAAATTCAAAAACATAGAAATAATTTCAATAGAAAGGAAGACGCATGAGCATAAGTGAAATCTGGCTATATGTCCTTAATTGTACACAAACAAGGTCCTTCAATTAAGAGAGATAAAACCACGACCACTAATAATGATATAAAACAGGAAACAACTTTCAACATTATAGTTTCTGCGTTGAGAACAACTCGAGCACTTCAAACGTTACCTGAAAAAAAGCATTGACACAGTTATCTCCGGCCGTGAAAGTTTACACTCTTTAGGTTAGTCAGTTTGCATGTCTGACATACCTGACAAAAACTGATTGAACTGCAGATCTTCAATCTGTATATCTCTGTATCTGTAGAGTAGGGAGGGTGAGTGTAAGCCCACAGTACTTAGGCCACGTGTGTACATCCTCCCGAGGAGTTTTCCTAGGTAGTTGTTACTCCCGTCTTCATTATATGTTCTATTCGTTTTGTCTACATTATTTAGTTACAACGGTACCTACCGCCATTCCGATAAATCTGTCGGTTATTGAATTTTCTTCTCTCGGTGAGCTTCTTTTTTAACTGTTCACAGTACGCAGAAGAATAAATATTTATTAAGATGCTACAATAACTCATGACATTTAAACGGGCAAAACTTTTGAAACAACCTGCCTACTCCTTTCAAACCTATATATCCAATACATTCTCTTCTTAGATTCCTACTATTTCCTATCCTTCACCTCAGTCTACTAGTTACTGTGGCCACACGCATTCTTAACTCCCCTTCCATGAAGTCGAAATCTCTTGAAATCTGTTTTTCCGTTAACCACTCTGAATGACAACTCTCAAAAAGCTAAACTTGTTCGAGCAAGGTCTTTCCTGGTGCGATAAATTTTTTTTCTATTTCTGTATTTCAGGTAATAGAAATAAACGACCATCTTGGATAATATTCTCTTTTCATTATCATTTTTAGATTTTATATTAGGAGGTCTTTTATTATTAATATCTGTAGATGGTTCTTCTTAATTACCAGTTGTAATATATCTATTTTTTTCAGATAATGGTAGCAACTTTCAAGTTAGAAAAAATAGAATTTGTTCATCAATCTATAGGATATTCATCTTCACTTAAAATCCAAGTTGGAGAATTAACATGTGATGAGTGTCCTTCTATTCTGTGGCATGAATTTCAGGTATGCACCCATTTTTTTTAACAAGATCACTCAAAAGTAATTTAACATTAATTATGAAAGTTGAAAACGGATAGATTCTTTACGCAGCTCATGCCTGTCTAATATTCCTGTTATCTGTCTAATATTCATATTATCCGTCTATTGTTGGCGGATCTACAGCAGCGGTAGCGAAAATGAAAAAACAACTATTGAATTGGTTATGTTATAATAGTGGATTTATTGTGAAAATCTAAATAAATTTTATTAGTGACTTTTTCGCAAATTTTCATATCTGGTTTTATAAACCCTCGCTCAAAACCTCAAAAATAGTGAAAAACTAACATATCCCACACACGTTCTGATACATCTCTATACAAATTACTGGTAAATTGAAGCAGCTTATATCTGAGAGCTTGGAGAATTCCCAGAACAAACAAACTAACTTAGTCACGCCTAATAATATGGTTGGGAAAGAAAGTTTTTGGCCTTCTACTTATCCATCTTGATACAAAAATGTGGGAATCTTCCAAAGAAAGAAAGGAAGCAATCAATTTCAAATCGTATCTCTATACAAAGATGTGTAGATCATGCAAAGAAGTAACTTCCAGATACAAACTGAAAGAAAAAGCTCTCTCGAAACAGCTATCTTCGTTTAAACAAGATTCTCATGGCTGGGATTTAATCTATTTGCTGATGACATCACTCTTGTGAAATCAGATAAGTTATACATCGATTTGATTCGAACTGTTGATGAGAAAAAAGCTGGTTCACACAGAAAAGACTCAAATTAAATGAAAATGAAACATAGGACTCAATTGTCCCCTCAAATCTACTCTATCAGGAAATACAAAATGTATATATACTTGGTATATTCATCGTCGATTGGTTAAACTGGTCCAGCCACGTAGATTATGTACTTAGTAAGCTCTCTGGAGTTTTATTATTTCTAAGACAACTGAAACCAGTAACCAATCTATAAAAATACCTTACTTCTCTCCATTTCATTTTGTACTATCATACAGTATTCTACTTTGGAGCAACTCGAGTAATGTAATAATGGTATTAAGATATCAGAAAAAAGCCATTCGTATTTTAACATAGATCATATAGTAGTATTTATTTATGTTAACCTGATGTGCAAACGTTCAATAAACATATAATACATAATGTGAGAGTAAGTAAAAAGTAGATAATAAAAATTATTCACATCAACACTTTATTCAGCTTGGTATTATGCCGATGCATGCATGTACATCGTGGCGTTAAAGATACATTAAAACGTAAACAAATTCAAGAAACACTCCGATATACACCAATATAAAACAAAACCTGCAGATCTGTTGAATCCCAACAGCACAGACTAGCTATTAGAAACAAAAATTCTCTGGTCGGTGGTTCAGCCTGCGGCTTGAACCACCGACCAACACGGCGGACGATTGAGTGAGGGAACAAAGCACCCACGTCGAATCGACCGGCTACCAACTAATTTCCTTTTTAATGATAAGATAAAGTGGACAAGGTGGAGAAATCTGAAGTTTATAAGATCAAGTGTCCGGAGTGTAATAGTGTTTATATGGGACAATGTGGCCGAAATTTCTCAAAACGGTATCCTGAACATGAAAGGTCTTTCAGACAATGTAAAAATGATTCGACTTTTTCAAACCATTCCTTGGAATGCAACCACCAGTTCCCGAATCTAAACAATACGGAAATTTTGCATTATGCAAGCAAAGCTTGGAAACTCAATTATTTGGAATCCTTGGAAATTCATAAGGATTGCGGATGTAACCTACTAAATGACGAAATCGACCTGGTCTACTCGCCGGTTTTCAGATTAGCATACCCACATTGTTACAGGTGAACAAAATTCAGGTACTCAGTTAAGGACCGTCTGTTATTACCTACAGTGGCGTGTATACAGGGTGTTTATTAAACATGCGGCAAACATTTAAGAGACTATTCCTTGGACTATTCTAAGGATATTTTGTCCTTTGACTTTGATGATTTCTGATAGAGCGCTTTGTTTCGAAGATACAAAGCGAAAAAAATTTCGACAATAATAATTTATTACCAAAAATTACATGTAATGTTTCTTAATCTACAAGAACTGTTGAAAATGACTACCCCCGCTCGGATGCAAGAATCCAATCTTCTCCTCATCGACTCCCGAACTCTTTCAAAAACACCAGTATTGTTTCTGATTGAGTTACACTCAACAATTATCCGCTTTCTCAAAGCTTTCACATCTTTCACTGTAATCAAAATGTTGTTGATAGGTACCAACGGAATTGTTAGATTTTTTATTACTCGGTAGGTCCAGTTTAGTACGCTATACTTTTATTTCGGCCACGTTAATAATTTTTAAAATTACCAGAATGGTTATTGTCGAAATTCTTTTTCGCCCCGTATCTTCGAAACAAAGCGCCCTATTGAAAATCGTCAAAGAACAAAATTTCCTTAGAATAGTCCAAGAAATAAAAAATCTGTTTTAAAATCTGTTTTTCCGTTAATCAGCTGTCGCCCCCATATGAACGACAACTCTCAGAAGTTGAGAAACTTGTGCGAGCTAAAGACTAACGAGGTCTTATCTTTTAACGTGTGATTCCTAACACGGTAATAATCCCTTAATTTTTTGCCGCTTGTTTAATAAACACCCTGTATAAGGGTTAACATTGTTAATTATTTCAGTTTATTTTATTCAGGCAATCAATTTGAACAAATCTCTATCATATATCCTCTATCTCTATCCTCATTTAATTTGTAGTCAAAATATGTTTCAGATTTCTCTTGCAATTTTTGCATGACAAGTTTCACGATTAAACTTGAATTTGAAAGGGAAAATTTCAAATACGAAAATATTCCAAATTGTCATATTATACATTCAGGTAGACTGAATGGAATTGCATATTGGGAATATAAATCAAGCATTTCGCGAGCTTGATAGAAAGAAACGAATTATATTGATGAAATGTATTACTTCACTATCATTTCATACCTCCCACTTGCAGATCCCCTTTGCACTATACTTACTGTTCATAAAAATCGATTGAAGGTGACTGAAAGTTTTAACAATAAACGACAAGTTGCTTGACTCCCAAAATTAATGAATGAAAGTCAAATTGTTAATCAAGACAAAAAGTAGTTTTTATATAAGGGGTAATTTGCTTCTTCAAATTCTCACATACGACTTCTTATTACTGAAAACATAATTTTGAAGTGACACTTCACCCTCTCATTTGTAGTCGTTTATTATTGGTGAGAAACTCTTATGCTTATGAAATCGATAATTTGTTCTAGGTAAAATTCCGCACAAGGTCCACATCACGTACTGGTTTATATTCGAATATTCCAACTAGATCCAAGGTGAAACTGAGATTAGATCACGAACCTGCTCCATATTTTTTTTCCCTAATGGATTCGGATATCACTGAGAGAGATCAGTTTTTGAAAATTTTCAAAGATTCGTTGTTCATTAAAGTTAATGATTTATCACTTCATTTGAAAACAAGTACTTTGGCAGGGTTAGCCGAACTCACAGAAGATGAATTCTTGCCAACAATATTCGAGTTAAAGGTAAGTATAGTTTTTTTGGTACTTATTTTTACCATCTATAACTTATGTATTGAAAAATGTCAAAAATATATTTTAATGAAATTAATCCGATAAACTTTTTTTTTTAAACTTCAACGCCCTGTATCTCAGAAACGAAGCAACTCCGAATAAATGTTCATAAGATCTTTTTTTTTCAAAACGACCTAATGAATCACCCTCTGAAGTTTCGTACCGTAGTTAGGAAACATCCTGTATAATTTTTTCACAGGATTGCAAAATAAGTCTCTTGAAAAAGTTGTTTCTTTTACATTTTCATCACCATATACTATATTTCATCAATCTAGGATATTTTTTGCCATTTTTTATAAAATGCATTCTTTTAAAAAAATCGATATATTCAGTTCATTTTTATTTCTTTGTGAGTACCATGTCATGCAAATATAATTTTTATGTCAATTTTCATTATTTGAAATGAGAATATGAAAAATTAAGTATGATACTGCGAAGTATGATGTTGCGAAGTTATGATGGTTTCACCGTTTTATGAGAAAATAATAAAAGGTCTACTTTTTATTCAATAAGATCAAATTAAAAAAACTCATAGTTTCATAAAATTAACTGCCTACATTTTAGTATGTCGTTCTTCACGCTCAATGAAAACGACGGTTTTTCTGGATGACCAGAAATAATCCCGATCGCGTCCTAAAACTCTACCTCTTAACATTTGATTTATGCACTGCTTCACTGCAACAGTTTGGTATTAGTACACCATCAGCTGCTACCATAATTTTTGTTTGGTAATAAGGTCCTCATAATAGTAATGGTAATAAGATCCACATTCATCAATAGTTTAAAAGAACATCTGAGCCTCGAGACACATGTCTGATGCGTTACTACTATGAGCTTTGTAGTCCTTACTAGTTTTTGTGTTTCACTTGTCATATTGAATGTTTGTGAATTCCGAGACCAGCATTTTTGCTGAGTAGGGAGCATAAGAAAATATTTTATATTTATAGTGTCTTAACTTGTTGAACTAACTGTACGCTGTTGTTATATTTTTAAATACAAAAAAAAATTAAAAAAAAAAACATCTACAACCTAACTAATCAAAATAATTTGGTAATCCTCAGCTGTCGAAAGTTTCTTTGAAGAGGTTTTCAATGAGTACTGGTCTCGACATTCGATTACAAAACCATAATTTTTTTGGGATCGCCAACGGCAATTTTGGGAACTCACTGAACCGCCTGAAGAAGAGGTTGCTTCATCTTTCCACAAAATGTTACACACTGAAATCGTAAATTCCTTTCAGAGTATAGATGTCGGTTTCTAAACTCGAAATTAATTTTTTTAAACGTTTCTAACACTCCCCATTCAATAACCACTTTTCGTTATCTTGACATCTTGTATTTACTCGTTTTACAAAAACCTTTTCTACAAAACCACATTTATGAAATTTACCATTATCCTTGGTGTAGTACTGAATCGGGATGGTTTCTTCTCACTACATATTAAAACAATTTCAATTTCTTCCTGAAATGATAGCACTATTTAGTTTAGTTTGGCAGAATAATACACGAAATATTTATAGAATTCGTGTTTTAAGTTGTTTAAGAGCATCTTATACACACGAAAACTCAACGCAGTTGTCAGAGTATTCGAACGGATATTTAAGTAGAGAGAAGAAAAGAGAACCTACTCATCAAAAGATATGTAACGAAGGACAGGATACAATATAAGTGTAATCTGTCTATGCTCTGCATCACATGAGCTCATCTTGCATTTGTTCAGATGCCTTGCCGTACCCAATTTATAAACGGATATATTTCAAGGCGATTCCCTCAGTCTCCCTCTTTTCTGAATGTCACTGCGTTTATGTGGAATAAACTTCCTGAGAACGTTTTTTCGAATGGATATAATATCCAGCGATTCAAATACAATGTGAATTGCTACTTTCGCATAGGCACCGCTCTCAGAGCGCTTTAAAGATTTTCCTGAAGTGCTTGTGTTTTGTCCTTCAAAAAATATATATGAATTACCTTGAATTGAATGCCCCCGAAAAAAAAGGTCTCCGTCAGTCCTTAAGGGTGGTGAATGGAATTCAGGATAGACAACTCAAAAGACAATATGGAGATTATGGAAAGGATGTACGGCTCGTAGACGAAATCATTCTACACAATATGGATGCCAGACATGTATCATTTGTATAAACTTAACATTTTCTTTGACGCGGCCATTCTCACCAGTTTAACCAATTTTCTAAATTTTCCAAAATAATTTTACTTTTGGAATAACTTGTGTTATAAGAGTACACTTCCATTCTGCTGATAACCCAAAGGTACTTTGCAAGTTTTGTTGGAGTGTGCGAAAGTATTCAGGTTCACCGTTTTATTTTTCTGTTCCTTAAAAACTTTGATATGAGCCCATAAACGGCAGGGATTTGTTGGTAATTTTTCTTCTAATTTGAAAATAAGTTCATAGTTTCAAGACAGGATTTGTGGCCAAAAGATTTCATATCAATAACCATAACCATATTTGAAACTGTTGCCGAAAAATGCATATTTAGATAACAATAGAATCTTCTCTTCGACTTGGACTATTTCTCCACTTGTCTAATAATTACCGTTCGTCCTTCCTAAAATGATTTTAACGGTTCAATTATAGTCCTCACATTTTCTGGACTGCAAAAAATATATTTAACAGCATGTCTTGCTTTCCCTTTTAATTACCTTTGAAAACGATATAAATTGTCAGGTGAGATCTTCTTTTCTTCTGTAGAACAATAAAATCGGGAATGGGTTTAACGGGCTTGACGGATTACTTTAATGTTAGTTTTTTAAGATTGGAACTCAGCTTGTCCGTACATTTGGCAAATAAAATATAAAAATCATTGGTTTTAATATTTTTATTTACATTCGAAGTTTTTCAACGGATGATTCGTTACATTGGATGAAAAATATTTTTTTTCTCGTGAGGTGACGCTTTTAAAACGGACATGACATGCATCATGCATATTCACTTTTAATTGATCTAATCCGAATTCATTGTGTTTGATTTTTCAGATATTCTTGATGAAGTATCGTTAACAGGTTCTTTTCCTTCGTGAAAGATTTCCAATTGTAATTTTAATTTTCTGAGTTCTTTTTATTCTTTCTCAAGTGAACATTTTTTTTCTTTCTTGGAACTTTTCAATAGTTTCCCTAGGTTTTTATTTAACAATTATTTTTCTACAAAGCTTGTTGACAAAGACCTTTCTCAACAACTGATGTTCAATTTATCTGTATACAGAACTATAAATTGAAATGTGAATATATAAACAATTTTCAACATTCTTCAATATACTCAAAGAGAAACTAGGGTATGTTATATGTTGTAGGTTACTGTGGAAAATGTGCAAATTGACCTGGAGGATGATCATCCATCAGTTAATGTTACTTCGTTTGATCGGGCACCACTGGTACTCAACGTCATTCAACTCTACATATTTCGGAATGAAGATGGTATATTCAATATTTCTCCTACTTTCCCAATGAATTTTAATACCGGCAAGTTTACAGGTTAGTATGTAATTCTGAAATTTGATATTTTTCCAGCAAATAGTGCATGAAATTCGTGGCACATATCTTTTAAGATTCAAATTTATCGCGCCATATTTATGATGTACTAATCAGAATTTGAATTTTTGTGAAAGCATCGACAGAAATTCAAAGTAGTCATCAAGTGATGGCCTTTGCATATTATGTTCATATTTTTTTCTTAGATTTTATTTGTTAATGTTCTATTGGTGTGGCCAAAGGTGCTTGCTCCACTGCTACAGACTTTCTCTCCTCATAGGGCGTTTTTCTTGTCCTCGCCGGGCATTCTTCTCATCCTCTTTAATGCGATTGTTCAATAACCTCTTATTTTCACCAAGGTATCCGTAGACTTAATTCTTGAAGTCGCTGTTTATATGTTGTAGTTTGGTCTTCGTAAGTTGATGCTGATTATATAGCAGGATCTCAAGATGGTTCGGTGATGTTTTTAATTTCACTTTATTCATTTATTTACATACATAACATACAATTTGATAAACAATATATCATTATAAAAATGCATGGCTGACCGCACTTGCTGCTGCATACATAACATACAATTTAATATGGTCTGGTATGGTAGCGAACACCTTCAACAAGTCTACCAAGCTCAAGTGAAGGTAAAAAGTCATGGTCCATCCGAAAGTCAACTGGAGTATGGGGCCGAAGTCGAAAGGTTGGTAAGACTCGCCTATCCAGAGGCTCAGATAACTGGATTATTGTGCATACCACTGGAGTAGTGTTCAAAATTTCATCGACGGGGTTCGTGACACGAAGTTACAGTAGTCGCTGAGAATGGCGTGTCATAAAAAACTGAATGAAGTTATCATTTATGACCTAGAAAATGCTTCGCGCCAACAAGAAAAGTTCTAGTGAGGTCCATGAAGAAACAGATCGATTCATGGTAGGTCTAGAGGGCGGCCTAAATGCTATAACGGAGACAGAGAGGTGGGCTGTCAAGCACGTTCAGGATTCGAGGAGAGATGAGACTGACATTCGGGATCACCTGAACGAGAGCATTAGGATCAGAAAAACTGAATTCAGCCAGCATTAGGGGTACATTGGCCATGCATCCCAAGCCCCCAGGTATTTGATTTCCATGATAGGACACAATAGTAACAACTCAGTTGTCGACGGATTTGTGAATAACCACCAGTACTTTTTCACCGTAGATACTGGAGCAACGAGGTCAGTAATGAGAGCCGACATTTCCAAGACAACTGGTTTGAAGAAGTTATCAGTAGTACCCGTTCTGGAAACACTTAGGGGGATAGATATAGAAAATATAGTTTTTATTCATCATTAAAATTTTCGCACATACACAATTACAAGATTAAATACATGAGAAAACCTGTTGGACTAGTACAAAAAAGTAAAACGCTAAAAGCTAAAACAAATGTTTGATCTTGAACAAGAGAGTAGGGGTGGTATAAAGTATCTTCACCCCGAGTAGCGTAATTATGTATATCAGAGTTTTGTGGAAATAGGTGTTTATTATCACGAATTCCTATGTTGTTTAATTTACGAAAAAGTAAGTAGTGGTTAACCATATCGAATGCACGAGTTAAATCATAGAATATACCTAGTGTATTCTATGATTTAACAGTTGACTATGCATGTTTTTTATATGAGGTGTGAACCACTTTTTCATTGTTGTCTACATCTTAACTTTCATTATAGGAAAAAAACAGTTGTAATGATAAAGAAGTGTTGTGTAAAAAGCTTTAAACTGATCTTCGAATGAGTCAACAGTAATCATGTCACCCTAAGTTTCATTTGCTATAGAGAAATTCACTTTGAAGGAACCTGTTTAAAATGTGTGATCAGATAAGAAGGAATATTATCAATACACTTATTAATTCTTGTTGGTTCATTGACAAAGTGTCTTATATTGTAACTAGCTAGTAAGTTTATGAGTCTTTTTTTGTCTGATGATTCTTTAAAGAAATTAATATTTACATCGTCACATAAAATATACTGCATTATAGATTTTATGGAGTAGTTGCTCAAGACACTGGATGAACTTCTTGACATCACCTGTAGGCGATCAGTATGTCGTAATTATATATACATTGTTAGATGATTTACATTCCAATAGTGCTATGCAAGCCTCAAAATCTTTTTCTATGCAAGACTTGAAGTTTATACTTCAACTAATGTTAACATTATTAACTAATGTTAACATTATTTTAAGCATAAATGCAAACCCCACCATTTCTAAATTTCGTTCTTGAATAGAAAGAAACTAATTTAAAATTATCAATGTATGTCATTTTCATTTTGTCTTCTTTCAGCCAATGTTCGGACATACACAGTATGTCTGTATTGTGCTCCATCACTATCAGCTGTAGAAGTTTATTTTTGTTTGACAAACCTTGTATATTGAAATGCAAAATAGAGTAGTCTTTCCCTTGGGAATTGGTGATAGGCACTTGATTTGGGAGTCTATAATCCTCCGTCTGTCTCGTATTTAAGATTCCTGAAGGTGAGAATCCATCACTTCTGCTGGTCTCCTCTTCATCGAAAAAAACGATATCATGGATCCATTTGCCCACGTTTTACGTTTCCATGCTTCATTAAGTAATTCTCGATTGATGATGACCTTCATGGAGGAATACAATTCTGGTTTCCTAGAAGGGTGTACCTCAAACTTAACTCCTGGTAGTTCACTATTCAGAAACATCATAAGGTCATCCGGTTTAGTTCCTGCTTTTAACCTAGTGACATGTAGGTAGACCTTTCTTGAGATAGTCTCTATTGTACTCGACTCTGTATTTCCTACCAGGAATTTCCTATTTCTCTTGTGTGCCACCTGAGATCAACCTTCATCCTTCTGTACATGTTCTTCAATGAAAGTTTGAGCTAAGTGTTGAATCTTGTTCATTGTTGTGTAGCTTTGGGCTTGTATTAATGCTGTCTTGACATGTTGCGGAGATATTAGGTCCCACGGAGATTCCAATGTTGGATTAGTAGCCACTGCCGGTTCAATTTGTTTGGAATTGTCTACGTTATTCATAACTATTGTATGTTGTGTTTTTTTTTCTTCTTTGAAGGTCAACTTCGTTTATCCGAGATTCACATGGTTTTGTTTGATTTTTTCTTCAAGCAGTTCATTTGTTCTTTTTAGCAATTTATTGTTTTCAAGTAAAATCTGATAATTTTCTCCTTTCTCCAATAATATTTTCCTTAGGAAGTCGATTTTTGATTTTATAATAAGTACATTTTCTTCTTGATTAACTTGGTCTTCATTTTTATTATTTTGCGGAATTTTACACACCTCACAGATGATTCTTGTATCACATAGTTTCTCTCATTTCTGCTTTTTCCTGGCTGCCCAGAATAAATGAAAAACTGAACCACACTTTACACACACTAAAACGTTGGTATTTTTTGGCAATATTTGAACATTTTTACATTAAAATTTTTATCATTTATAGAACAGAGATCTTCTACCTGCGCATCACTCAACGCCATATTTCATTGATTGACGTTAGATAGATAGACAGATAGCTGAAGTAAAACTTCAGCTAAGGTATTAGTGTTAAATAGAAACTGAGGTATTAGTGGCCCACATCGTCCATGAATTAATTTTGGGACCTAGACATCATGTCGCCTATGTATTCCTGGTGGGTATGAGAAACAAACTTGAAAGCTGGAAATGAGGAAATTGTGTTCTTACCCTTATGACAGTCTCAAGATCGTAAAACTGGAAGACTTTAGAATCTTTCCAACGCCGAGAGATTCATACAAACAGAAATTTCTGGACATGGTGGCTTGGGCACAACATTATTAAAGCCATCGGACGGCTCCTAAGTAGTAATGTTCGTGGCTTGATCTCTCGTAAATGTTAACAACCACATAATTTCGGTAAGAATAATCAACCCAAATATCCAAATAATAACAAGAGTGACTCTTGAAAAAGGACTTCTGCAGCGTGCTTGACAGTCCACAAAGGAACTCATCGATTCCTTCAGGAAAACGTGGTGCCATTTGTCTAAAGAAGAACTATGCATAGCCACCCGATTTCTGGAGGAGTAAAGCGACATGGTTGTGAGGGGAAAAATCATTGGTCTAATTGGTAGATCAATATCGGATCGATACTGTCGATGACAGGCCCATACGTCATCAACTGAGACTATTGCTCTACACAAAATAGGGCGAAACTTCATCTATTGTTAGGGATATATTGGAGGAAGGAGTAATTGAATAATCAAACAGTGTCTGGTCATCACCTGTGGTATTGGTGACTAAGAAACATGGATTGACGAGATTCTGCATAGACTACAGGAGGGTTATTGATGTCACCAGAAAGGACAGTTTTCCTCTCCCAAGAATAGATGATGAACATCTTGGCTGAATGCAGATGGTTCTCAAAATTAGATCTCAAAAGCCGATATTGGCAGGGACCGTCCGCCCCAATGATAATGAGGAGACTGGCTTTTTCACCGGCATGATTTATAATATCATGACAGTTGCAGAATCATAGTGCAAGGCAATGTAAAAAATGACGCAAAAATGTGTGGTGGTTCATTAGTATACATTGCAACTGCAATTTATTTTCAATCAACAAAAAATCTAGAGATGCTGCAGACAGACCAAATGTAGTTATTTCTTACAAGAACAAAAGAAAATTGTTTTGGGCAACTCTAATTTTTTAAATTTGTTGCCTCGTGTTCACAAGGCAACAATTAAAGTGTACAGCTGTATAACTGTAGAAAAGAAAGGGAAAAGGGCCATTTTTATTGGAACACTTTTGTTATTACTATAAACTGAAACAGCACCTGCGCAGAAAAAGGAACTATATTTTTACACACACAATTCTGAATGTATTTAATTTTAGAAAAAGAAAATACTAAAATACCATTGATGATTTTTCATAAAATGATATATGTTTTTTTCAGAAAGTGAAATCAGGCCTGATTTGAAGAATCAACTGTATTTAGATAATGAGGAATTGAGAAGACGTTTAATGGCATTCGAAAGAGTTTCAGAAGAAAACCGTTCTTTACGCAAAACAAAGGAGGAGTCTACTATACTTCGTTCTCGTTTGAAAAAATCACAAGAAGAAATTGCTCAGCTGATAACAGATAAAACAAAATTAATCAATGAAATTAAAAAATTACGAGAACAAATATCATCAAAAGAGAGTAGTTCTATGGTCAATAGCAGTAAAAGATAGCAAAACTGTTTTGACTGTACAAATTACTGTAGTAATGTTAAACGTTAGCAGTATTTGACGGTCATTTGGTTTTTATATATGATAATTTGTTTATATTTCCTGTATAACAGGTAGAACTAGTTCCAGCCATCGAGTGAAACTATAATATAAGTTTATTCCTGACCTTTTTTTACTCAAATATTTACTTAAAGTTATATATGAAAAGATGGTATGAGCTTTTAAGAACTTATTATGTTTTAGAAAAATGATATTGTAAAATTAAAAAGATTGTAAATAAATGGAGTGAATGAAGTTTTGAATTAACAGTTGATGCATTAAATATTTCAGCTTCCTTATATAGAGGGTGTTTCATAATTGATTGATGATCCTGAAGGGCGATAATCTTTGATTTTTTTCAAGGAAAATTCTTCATATGAACATAGGTCCACAACCGCTTCATTTCAGAGATACAGGATGTTGAAATTAAAAAAAAAATCAGTTCTCCCCTAATATCTCTTAAACCGCTTTGGTGCTTTTTCAATTTTGGTACATGCAAAGTATGTATAAAAATACTTTTTTTCATGGTAAAGTTTTTCCAAATGTTCATGTCCTTCTAATGTCCTTCTTCCAAAAAAATATTATTTTTGTAGTCACCCTCTATCTTCTCATAAAAATGGTCTCTTGTCATTTCTCGCCTTGTGAACGGTTTTTGAGGTAGAAAATAAAATACGTTCATTTGCTTGTCTCTAGGTAAAATCAGCTGTTAAAGTGTAGTATAATTAATTTGTGGTCGAGACACATCAAGAGTCCTGAATTTAGTGTCAACATAAACAATTTTGACACTTCTCTAGTTAGATACGTTATAAGTCATAAAAACTTGTTTCTTAAAAAACATGGTAAATTTTACAAATACCCACCTAGCAGACGTGTCAAGTGTATGGAGAATTCTGTATAATTTTTTATTATATCCCTATCACGTTCAATGAGTTCTGGCTCTACTTCCTCGAGAGTTTCCCTTACGAATGAATTTCTGCCAATGGTTTCTTCAAAAAGTTACCGAAAATCCTTTATCTTTCAGGGAAATTTATTCACGAACGAAGCTAGTTTTACTGAAATTTTCATAGTAATCATTTTTGGGCTGAGGAAAATCCTCATGTAATCTTAGAATCTCATCACCAGGAGCAGTTCTCATTAATTGCCTCGGCTGGAATTATTAAGATTACTCAATTAATTCTTTTTTACCACTGGCAAGATATTTCAACCAAAACTTTCATAATCGCTGAAATATGTCATAGAGGAACAAAGCCATGGCCAGCTTGATCCTCAGACAGTTTTAATTATTTTCTTTGGGAACATTTTGAGACTTTGGTGTACAGTCAACCAACTCAAACTGAGGAAGAATTGCGAAACCGCAAAATAGTTTCCTGTTAAGCTATAAGGAATATTCCAGAAATTTTCAAAAGAATACGCAGGTCGATTAGAAGGACAGCTGAAGCTTACATACTTTCAGAAGGCGGATATTTTGAACAGTTTATATGATTTTGGTATTTTTTGTTCCTAATAGTTTTGTACTCGTGCATACTCATTACAAAAACTAAATAATTCATAAAGAGTATCAAAATTATAAATAAAAGCTTATAAAAATCTTACATAGATTCTTTGATTACCACAATTGTGAATTAAGGAATAAAACAAAATATCAAATAGGGATAAGCAAATGAATGCTTAAGAGGCACAAATCGAGCCACTGATAATTCAAATTGGTGAGGATGACACTACTGATGAAGAGACAAATTCATCCAGTTGAATAATTTTGATTAACATTCCTTTTGATTTTACATAAAATAAAAATTATCAATAAAGAAATAATTACGTCTCTTTTCATATAATGCTTGAGTGCGCTGTGAAAAATCCAATGAAAATCTTTTTATATTACACATATTATCTGCATTTTTGCCGTTAAACTGCAAAACTTGTGCATTTCACTCGTTGCGATCGACAAGATGTTGGTTCTGAATACGACCCTGGCCAATTCTTGGTATTTTCAATATCACGTGCGTAGGGCATGTCAATGTTTACATCCACTCTATCTTGGATTTGAATCTGCTATAATTGAAAATGACCACTTATAAATTATACATAATCAGTTTATAAGGAACTTATTTTGATCACCTGATGAGTGGACTAGAATCAAATTTAGCAAATAATAGTTGAAGTTGAAAGGATATTGATTGATTAAATACTTTCAATTTTTTGAGATTTGGATGAGATAACACTTTATTGTGAGATTTTCAGTGAAAAGTTTACAAAAAGGCAACACGTATTTCACTATACAATATCTTCCTCAAACATTTTCATACAAAATTTAGTGACAATCTAGTAATAAAGTGTTATTTTAATAAGTAGTGGATTTCCATCAAGTATTGGCCATTTCCATCACATATTTATGCTACAGGTAATTTTGAATATTGCTTTTAGATACGAGCAAGTTCTTCAGCGATAGTAGTCATAGTAATGAATGAAAGTGTAGAAATTGTCTTCAACTGGCGTGGTTCCTAACTTCAAGGGTAGGATACATGGGTTTTTATTCAATGACTGTATTCGAACTTCCTAGCCCATCGTCAACGACAGGACAGATCTGACATTGGGCTTTTGAAACTTGGCTGATTTAAATTTTTCTCTTTTGCATAATTATTACATTTTTAAGTCAAGTTTATAATGCTTGTGTTTTTTCTTTATGAGTGAGAGGAAGTTCACGGTTTGCGTTATGTTTCTGAATTATTTTTTGTTAAGATTTGACAAGTTTATCAGTTAAATTTTATAAAGTTCTGTATTCTTGTTGTACAAGCTATCATATAAAGTTATTCGTATTCGATTTTCAATGTTGATATTGAAAGGATCTGACATGGACAGGTAACCTGTAACAACATCAATGGGTTTCATTACTGTCGCCGATTGTATTGAATGGTTATTATTTCATGAGACATTTGTTCGATTATGTCCAGGTCATTATGGTTGGTTTGGAGATTCTGTAGGGGAATCTTTCAACGATTCTTTCAAATGCGGCATCATCGGGAGTAACATATTGCAATTTTATGTTGTGAGTTAATTTGGGGTATTGCCGTTATTTCATAAACTACACCCCACAATTTGATCTCCACAAACTTCATTTAAAAAATATCACGATATGTTTCGCTAACACAGTAGCTGTGAAAACAAAGATGAGGCATTATCTGTGATCGGTCAAAGATCACAGGAAACCACTCGAAGCTGCGGGGGTATATCACTTTCTTTGTTTGTGTGGTGAAGTATATGTAGAAACCACAAAAAGGTCCAAGAGCCCTAGGATGAAGGAATACTGAAGAAGTTGCAGAATGGGGCAGACAAAAAGTCATTAGTACCGGAATTAGATTAATAGTGCCAGCTGAGGGATATCATAATCGGTAAAATCGATTAGTGCTGGGGACGGTAGAAGTACACGAACACACAAATAATTTCAGTAGGAAAGAACATTAAGTTCAGCCAAACATGAACTTCATTCTCACTAGAACGAAGATAGCACCATAGCGCCCCGATCATATTCCTCTATCAACATCACAATCTACTACGTCATCGCCTCGGCACGACAGTCTTCGTTCAATATTCGGGATGGAAGCACTTCTGATGAAACCCGACAAAAGATACGAATATAATATAAAACGGTGACAGGGAGACTCAAATAGAAATATTTTGAGGGTAAAGTGCGGGATAGGTTTTTGAAATACGGTAAGCATGATGTTGATGTTCTCGAGAAGGGCATTTCATCATCTCCAACTGATTTTGCTTCATTTCTGCAACTATTCTCATGACAAAAATATCACGTCTTGGAACTCCATTTGAAGAAACATGGTTGGGAATGGTCATTCTGACGCCTTTCAATAAAACATCTGTTTAATTTTTCTTGCTTTACAAATAACGGAGATATTGCGTGTTAAGTAAATTTCGGGACACCCTGTATATATAAATTTGTACTTGGAAAAACGCGTCTGATTGACATTCAACTTGTACTTTTTATATACTATATCGTAATTACACCTATTCAGCTTGTGGGGCCATATCTCAAGTGGATACAAATTGGGCTTTGTGAAAGAATGGCCAGTAGCCCAAAATGAAGTTAAATAAAACACTAGGTTAATCAAAATTTGAATACTATTAGAATTGGCTCGTTGATGAGAAGTTTTTTTGCAATGTTCAAAACTAAATTGTCATGGATGATTTTTGCATCTTTCTTTAAATATGTTGTAAAAGATTTCATCTGTTTGAACTTTCCTCAAACATGCATATCTTAGACTTCTTAGAGAGAGACTGTTAACGTGCTCTTATAATTATAAAAAACAATTCCTAATGTCGTCTGGTTACACTGGACAAATTTTATTGATATACTTTCTGAAGTTGTTTGTATCTAGCTGCCTTTTTCAGTGTTGTAAAGTACATAGACTTGTCTAGTTTATTCAAAACATGCGTGATGTTAGTTTTCAGGTATTCGTCATCGATCGTTTTCGATAATCTATAACTATTTTCGATTTTACTTACCAAAAACATCTTCGTTTTTTTAGTAACAATCCAAATTGCGGATGACAAAAGGGATTTGCTCGTCCAACATTTAAAAAATTTGGGATGGGACTGGATTGGTATGAGTAAGGCTACGATTTTGTATGAACAGGAAATTTATTTCAAATTTTTATTTTGGTTGTCGCTGTGAATGGGTCACTTCTTTTAAAATATCTGAAAACTGTTTGCAGGGTTAACAGTGGATGTTTTTTGGATTTAAGTGATCTGTCTATATTATATTTTGTTTATCACTGTCACTTCTCAATTTTTGAAAAAATAAATTTTGAAATTATTTTCGAAATTGAATTCACTTATTTCAGGTACCTCTGAAAAACTAGTATATCTTATCTTTGAGAGGTGAGGTTTTGACTGGAAATAACATTGTTAATTTGAAATCAATCCATTAACCTACTGTGTAGGGAGTTGAGACTGGCCTGAACGAATTGTTCTTTTAGATGATTTGATTTATAGCCAGTCTTCAAGTATGCCCACTGACTATATGTGATAGAAAAACAATTGTTCATTCACTACATCACCTTTAGGTATATTTCGTCTCGCCTTCTTTGACACTTTATTAATAAAATAAAACTTTATTAATATACGGAGCCACTTTTTGATAATAAATCTCTCCATTTTATGTTTTCGCGGTTAACGTTATAGTTGGCATCACTGAATACTATCAACATTTCAAATAATGTGTTTATGCTTCGTGGTTGAGATCTTCAATTGTGTTGACGCTAGATTAAGCGAAAAATGGATTTAAGACATGAATTAACAGTGACTTATATGCCGCAAAATAACACAAGTGAGTATAATTTTGATGTTTTAATTTTGTAATCAATTTTTTAAATGATGCAGGATGTTGTCGGACCTCAAAGATTATAGACAAAACAAAAATACTGAAAGAGTAAAAATTACCTCGTTTTTTTTTTAACGAGAAGAAAGATCCAATTCTTTTATACAACTTTTTAGTTAGGGTCAGAGGAATGCACCTTATGTACCTATAACTACCATAAAACAATAAAAACCTGTTCAATTGTTGGTTAGATGGAGAAAATGGTTTTGTAAAAAAAAATTAGAATCATTTTACACCAAATTTATGAAGATTTGAATGGGAAGTCAAGAAAAGTATCAATACATTTTATACAAATAAGATAAATAAAACATCTTTTATATTACTTTGTTTGATAAATGTAAGAGGGAATTCAATTCTCTATTCAGTTACATATGCACTATGATTTCCAAGAAATTACAAAAATGTGTAGTGAGTTAAAAGTTTCGTTTAAATGAATATTCTACCCGGTAGCTAATCAAATGTTTTTTTACATCCATATCTGGAAATATTTTGTGGAATTTCCCTTCACATTCTCTCCATAGATTGGGCGTTAGCACCTAAAATATATATGTAGTCTTAATGAATATCAAAAATAAATTTGCACCAATAACCTGTGCAAGGATCAATGATAATGAATGTAATACATCACGAAAAAGAGATATTTTACTTCTCCGCAATATTCGCTCCAATCAATCATTAATTCATTTTGAACTTCATTCTGGGATGTGGAATAAACAAAACATATGCAATGAACATTATTACTCTTCCCAGTGTCAGGCGTTATTCGAAAAGGTGTTCTTTCTGGAAGTTGTAGCAAATTCACAAATAATGATTTTGCACTTTTTTCTACTTTTCGATTTTTGTTATATCTGTGAATTTGCATTCTTCATTGCAATTGGTACAACGTATTGATGCTGCAAACACTTCAATTTGAATTAACAAAAAAAAATGTAAAATTTATTTGGATAGAACAAGCGTTTTCTTCGACTCAAAAATGCACTTATATCATCACCGATTTTAAAATACCCAGATTTTCAAAATAATTCAAATGAGGAAAACTACTACAACAGTAACGAAGAATTAATTTATATAAAAAACGATGAAGTTTGTGCGCCAGGAAGTGTAATAAAAGGTATTTTGAAAATATTGCTCCCACGTCGTATCATAATGGTCATCGCATACTAATCAATACACGAGGGTGATCCTAGAAGTACTCGGCCTAGCAAAGAAAACAAAAAATTATGAAAAAAGAATTGTATTGATTTTTCAACATAATTTCCTTTCTGCTCTATACACTTTTCCCAGCGACGTTCGATACCGTTTTTATTATAAGAACTGTCTTACTCCTCAAAATAGCCATTAACTGCCAAAATCACTTTTTCATCAGTGGAAAATCTTTGGCCACTGAACAATTTTGTCAAGTTTGGGAACAGAAAATGCTCCGAGGGGGCTAAATCTGACGAATAGGGTATCCTGTAAATGCAATTATCGGAATCGCAGTCCACGTTAGGTGGCCTGGTTTTCGTCAAGTTGCTACGAATAGTGTTTTCGGATCTGAAGCAGATTCTGATGTTGTACTTGGACCCAATTCTTCTTATCCTTGGGTCTAAGTGAAACATCAGAACCTGCTTCAGACCCGAAAACACTATTCGTAGCAACCTCACGAAAACCATGCCACCTAACGCTGACTGTGATTCCAAGAATTGCATTTACCAGGTACCCTGTGTCCAACAATGTATTCAGCCAAGCTAGCGTAGAGATACGCAACATGTGGAAACCCATAATCAAGCAAAAAATGGCCAACTCCCACATTGGTTAATATAATTCTTATTTTCAGCTATTCATTTTCAATTCTTCTTTTTTAGTTGTTTCAGGGATTTCAAATCATTTTATATAGTAGACAATGTAAGTCCGAACTAGTAAAATTCACATACAATCTCATGAGCACAGCTTTTCAGTATGTGTATGGGTACTGTGCTTCTCTTGTTGAGTATCTCATCTTCTGTGACAGGGTTCAAGAACAGAGTGTTACTGTAAAAAGCTGTAGATCTTTCAAAGCCACTCACCTTACCAATATCCTTCTGTGTTGACAAGAGTTTAGGAGCAGATTCGATGAAGTATTTGTTGAAGCTATTGGCTACCTCGCATGGATTATCGTATTCAAATTGTACGGTTTGGGATGCACCTGTCACTTCTCTAATAATTTGCCACATCGTTTTGGATTTATTATCCGACTCAAAAATTTTATTTCTATAATAGTCATAATAGTCATATTTTGCAGATTCCAAGTGATTGATGTAATTTCTCTTTATCTCCTTATATGCATTTTTATAATCAGGATCAATTGTAGAAATGGATTGATAAAAGACAAGTTGGTTTTTCATTTGTGTAATCACAGGTGAATTGAAAAGTTTACTTTTAATACATTTCTTGTGTTTATGCGTTTTTGGAAAGCGTAGATCAAAGTAAAAATTGAAAGTTTTACTAAAATTTGAGAAAGCTTCTTTTGTATCTTTCGCACTGTATACATTTGTCCAGTTCTCGGAAATTAGGTTTGTACAAAATTCACTTATTGATTGGGAATCATAATATCGTCTCTGAACTTTTGTTGCTGAAATTTCACCAATTTTACAGGCTGCACTGAAGCACTCGAAAACATAGTTTTCAGCTAAGACGTTCACTTCGTCGATTGGACTGCTAACAATCTCCTTGGATACATATACAGCTGAGCCTCCGTGTTGGCCTTCTCTTCTGCAATAGCTAGAGACTTGAATGTAATCTTTGAAATTGTAATTCTCAATATTATGTTGTGATTGCCAGTGTTCTGTAATGCACACTACAGGACAATTCAGATCTTCAATGACCTTATGCATCATGTTGATGCTATTTCCTAGACTGAACATTTTGATGCATTAGAAATTTTTTTACATGGGAATATTTTATGACTGATTTCCTTCTAAAAAAGTAACAGGCTGGTGTGGATTTATGTTTTTTGGTTCTCAAGAAGATGATTGCCTCTCATGAAGTTAAATCGCTCAAAACCTATATTTTTTGGCCAGAAACTGGGATCATATACCTTCTCTTTCAGACTCTGTGCAACACCTATCATAAATGATGATTATTACGCCTTGTACTTAGTGTCTGTAGTTTTTTTACTTCGATTACTTGGTTTTCTAGTGATTGTTCTGTTTGTGCTTCTATATGTTTTCTTTTCTTATGTTTTCCTTCTCTATATTATCGGGTACTTTGGTTATGAATAACCATATCTTTTTGTATTGATCATCATGCCCATGAAAATTACTATCACCTTCACCACGGCCAATGTTTATTTTATTTTTACGACTCCTGTGTGACCTCTTGAAAACCTTCATTGCTATTATAATCATCATTTAAATGAATAATATCTTTCATAAACCTCCTTTGTTCATTTTCTAGAGCATTTACTTGATTTTCAGTTTGTGACTTATTTTCAATTTTAGATTCGTTAATTGTGATACCCTGTATGTTGTGGTTTCTCACAATGTCTAATAAATCCATATGTTCTTGAATGTGTTTTTCCTGGTTATTTATTTTGTTTTTTTTGGGATTTGTTTTTCTTTATTGGATTCTTCATTTTTTTAATGGAATTGTCATACTATGTTTTATGGTTTGGGTTGGTCTGTCTTTAATGAATTTGTCTTCCAAAAATGCAATTTTCTCTTTCAGTAATATGACTCGTTCTTTGTCTGCAATAATGGATTCCTTATCAGCAGAAATTTGCCTAAGTAATTCTCTTTCCTCTCTCAGGAAGTCTTCTTCAGATAAATAAAGTAGCTTGTTAATCTGATTCATGCTTGCTTTCCATTTTTTTGGTCACTAGATTGCTTGAGATGGATGGAAGTAATCATTACATTTGATACATTTCACTTTGTTTACTACTTTTTTCGAGCAATGTTTACAAGTAAAATTCTCGTTTTCTGTGGGAGCTGGCGACGAACAACCTGCTTGGCCCGCCATGTTAGAAGAGAAATATAATTGTTACTTTCAGCTATTCTTTTTAATTTGAACTGGTTCTTTTAGGAATTTCAAATCATTTCATATATTATTAGACAATGGAAGTCAGAGCTGATGAAATTTATCATGAAACATTGTCAATCAAATTGAAACAATTGATGTGAAAATCTTGAAAAAGTCCAACTCTTTATCATATTCAATGCCTACAAATTTTCATGTTTCAAATTAAGTTCACAGTCAAATTACTCACTAAAAATAATACATTTTTATATAAATCAAGTATGGTGTGAAGATAATTCATATGTTGTCATTGAACACCAACTTTAGTTTTTGAATAACCCAATTTAAAATAATACAAGGTTACATCTGGCGTTTCGTTGGAAATTCGTAATTGAAATAAATAATACAGGGTTAGATCGGGCATTCCTGTTGGAAATTCTAAATTTAAATAAATACTGATCCTAATGGTGCATGATGAAAGGTGAAACTGAACCCCTCTGCCTTAGAATAAATCCCAAACAAGAACTTCTCCCAATCATCAGAACTGCAATACTCTTCTCAACACGCGTTTAACCAACCAAGTTGACGTCTTCAAGAGATGAAGAAAAGTGCTTGTGTTGGTCTTAATTATGCAGTCAATTCAAATCAACTTCTCAATATTTCTACATTGAGTTGATAAAACTTCCAGGAATAACCACTCTCTAATTTTAAATAATACACTTTTGATGAAAACGGAACAAAATATATTATAATCAATTTTCAACAATTCAAATATTTTTACATAACAATGATATTGCCATTTTCTATGAACTTCATATTATAAATTACCTATCTTCCTTATATATTACTTCCTGTTTTGAATTAAGTAATTCTCCATTACGGGTAATAAGTTTTTTAATTTTCTCTCTCTTTTTTGATCGAGGTGGTTTTAAGGTTTTAAACATCACTTCTTGAGTTTCATTCTTGTTGATATCGAACTGGGGACATTTCTTCTCTTTTTTAGGCAATTCTTCGAAAGTATCATTTGAATCAGTGTATCTTCTTTTTAACGTTACTCCAGCTAAATTCAGTAAAGTTTCTGCACCTTTAATTTTTTGTTGTTCATCATCTTCCAAACTGAGTTTTTGTCTGGTACAATTTCCTGGAACCCTAAAAAGAATTTCTAGGTGTGAATATCTATCAGCATTATGAAATGTAATAATGAATGAAAATGAAAAGTTAAGTTCAGTATTGATAATCAATAAACAAGCGGATAATTTTGTTCAATGTATTTCAATACTTATTATTCATATGAACTGAGGTAAATCAAAATATTGATTTTTTCAGAAAACCATATGAATGAAAACCCTCAAAAGTCGAAATTTGTGCCAGGTGTGCCACATGTTATAAAATTTTCCAGATGAACTAATCAAACTCAAAATCTCTCCGGACCATTCTGTGCATGAGTGTAATTTTCATCACAATTTTTTGGGAAAAAGGTTTTGGCTTTCTGCAATCTTCCTGCAAAAAAATTTGGGAAACTTCCATAGAAAGGAAGAAAGCAATTCATTTCGAAATGAACTCTATACAAAGCTGTGTAGTTTATTGAAAGAAGTAACTCTCACACACAACTTGGAAGAAAAAGTCCTCTCGAAACAACTACTTTCATATGAACATTGAATTATATACTACAAACATTTGTTATGAAATTGACTCACATTGATTGCTTTCTTTCTTTCTTTCTTTCATTCATATTTCAGTTTCTCTATTTTTTCTTTTTGTTCTTTCAACTCACGCATATAGTTTTTTTCTGCATTTTCTACTTCATCTTCGAAATCTTTTGAGGTTCATTGTAGCTTTTGAATAAATTCGTCTCTCTCCTTATTGCTTTTTTTTAATTTATTAATTTCCTCCAATAGCTCTTCTACCTTATATTCATGTTCCCTTTCGGCTTTTTCTAAATGAGCATCTTTTTCTTTAACAGCCGGCATTCATTTTTGAAGTTCATCTGCTGCTCTCTGTAGTTCATCTTCATCAATTTTATTTTTCTGCGCACATTCTCTAGAGCAGGGGTTCCCAAACTTTTTTGTACCACGCCCCCTCTGGTTATTTGGAGACCCCCCCACGCCCCCCTACACATATCAATAATTGTACGTATGGTGAAAATTTAAACAAGTATTACATGAAAAACGAATATAATAACTGATACAAAATTTAACATTGTAACACAGATACATTTATTTTACGGAAATGACAACAACTTTTGATTTTCAAATGGGACATCCTATATATTATCACAAGAACGGTTAGGGAAGATCATGAGGAATCCAACAATACCAGGTTTGATGATGTTATCTCTAATGACTACGGAAATATCACCATTTATTTTATACATAAGCTCAATAAGTAGGACAGAGAAACTTTTTCTGGAGGGTCCATCCAACTCTCTCTCCCACTCATTGAGCGATATCTCCGTAGTAATTTGAGATAACACCATCAAACCAGGTATTGTTGGATTCTTCATGATCTTCCCTAACCGTTCTTGTGATAATATATAGGATATCTCATTTGAAAATCAAAAGTTGTTGTTATTTCTGTAAAAGCCGGAAGTTGAATTTGTTTGACAAATATGTCAAAAAGTGCCATCTAGTGAGCATATTCAATGTTCCAAGCTTCAGTAATATCGGTAGAGAAATAAAGGAGAAAAAGTGGGTGTACCATAAGTCTGTGTCGCACGGTATATATGAAGTTACTTGCAATGAATCTTCCAAAAGGAAGATGTTGAAAATAAATATTGCATCTTTAAAAATGTGTTTTTAAATGTGTATGTGTAAATTTGCATTTACATATGAAAATGTTGATTTTAATTTTACCTTATTTTATTACAAGATCTAAGTATACTTTCTAATTTATTCATTACTCTTTTACTCATTTATGACTTGAATATATACGCTAGGTATCCTTTTTAAGTTCTGCTGAACACAATTATTTGGAAAAAAATAAGAATATGTCAAATATACAAGATTTCTTAAATATACAATTCACTGGACTGAATACAGGATGTTTCTTTCATATTCTTCTAGTAGGTACAACTTGAAGTGTTTAAAAGTTTTTTGCAAAAAATCATCTATTTCATTCATTCATTACTACACTGAGATCAAGCTCAGTCTAGCTGTTGACATAAAATTGAAAAAACTAGTATTACTCCCTAAAAATATTACAAATTGAAATACCTGTAACTAGCACATTCTAGGGGCTCCAATTCTATTCTTATGGAATTACCACTATCTGCCGAACTGTATGTATGATCTTGACTAGGTGAAGTCATAATAACTGGTGGACATTCCATATTTTTAAAACTTGTTCCACGGTTTAAACTCAACATCACAGTCGCAGCATCTACAGCTTCTAAAGAATCTAAGTTAGCCTTATAATCTGAGTCATCGATGGTATTTTCAGACAGTTCTCTGGCTAAGGAAGGAAATCGGTCTGAATCTGGTGAATGGGAAGTAGATGATTTATTAGAAAAACAGTCCAGAGATGATGAATTGTTGAAAGTAGACAATGAATTTATTGGCGATCTATTAAGAGCCTGGATTAAACTTGGTTTATATTTAGGATCTATTGTCCATAACGATCCCTTCCCAATATTCTACAAAAAAAAAACAATGGCTTAAAACAAGAATAGATTCATTAAAGGACTATAACTTTATCAACCACCATGAGGCTGGTTCATTTACTGAATTTCTAGTTTTGCTTTTACATTACTCTAAGATATTGTCCCAATGAAAAACATTATTTAAACACTTATAACATAAACAAGTCAATTATCAAACTGCATGTGGCACTTTTACGGAAAAATCTTATAATATTCCTGATAAATCTAATATTATGGATCGCTCAGATTGCTCGTTAATAGTATAATAGTCAGTTCATTCAAGCCTTCCCAAGACTCTTGAGTCAAGAGGATACCGCACTGAAATATTCTAAAATTATAACATCATAAATATGTAGTCTTTAAAGGAGACTCCTTTCTTAAAGTGACGAGGAAATTGATTTTTGTATTTTCGTGATGAAGGTAAAAGGCGCTCTCAGAGCGGAGCCTGTGCAAAAGTAAGCGATTCACATTGGATTTGAATCGCTGGAGATTAAATCCCTTTGGAAAAACGTTCTCAGGAAGTTTATTCCACATAAACGCAGTTCACTAAATGAAAGAGTTCTTAAACAGTGAAGTTCGAGGTGTACTGCATTGAACTTCAAAACGATGAACAGCCACAGTCCGTCGCATATTTCTGATATGTACCGCTCTTAGTGAATCAAATGTGACAAGTCACTTGAACACCTCCCATGAAAATATATATAGAAGAGAGATAAATCTCCAACCTCATATAATGTACTCATGATAAAAACCCTTTCTGGAATGGATCATAAGGAATATTATTTGGATGTTTGTTTCGTAGTGTGGTTGGAGTCTGATGAGGAATAGGGTGGACAGAGGAAGAATGCAAATTGCTGGTTAACGAATCTGGTACTTCATAACAACCCCTCAGTGATCTTCCAGTAAAAGTATTATTATTATCAATGTTTTCCACACAATGGCTGCTAACAGTATTCGATGAAGATGGATCAATGTTCATACCTGAAACAAAAACAATATCTATACAACTTCAAGGTAAGAGTACATAAATTTAGAGGAAACTACCCACCCTAACTTCTTTCATAAATGAAATAACAGATTGATATTGTTTCTTACCAGTATCAAAACAAATTAATGACTCTCCAAATGAAAATGATAGGTTTTTATAATTAAAAAAAAATATGCGATTATCTGAACAATAGTTCTATTGAAAATCAATATTTTAATTATAAAAACTACTAATTAATCTTATCTGAAACAAGCAATGTTGATAAAACGCTGAAGATCGGATGCATTTAACCATTCAACAAAATTTACATTTTCATTATCTAATGAAATCAATCACGTACATTCCTTAAGTAGAGTAGCTACTTGTATGTCTTTAGCTCCATACCTGAAAACTGCTACTTTGGTAGTTTATTTTCTCACCTCCCATTTTGCTTTAAAGTTCGCACATACCACTGATGATGTCTGCCGCAGTAGAAGACGAAACGTTTGGTACTTCAGATTCCAGTCGACCAAGGCCTACCAGTCTGGAGTTTGTTTTCTTTAATCATGACTCTAGCCAGGAAAGCCTATGTTCTTATATTCTTAGAGGTCTTTTTTTAAAAATGCTAGAGTAGAACATAAAAATGCAAAATCTCATTTAGGTTCTTGATGTTCGAACTTATCAAATTAGGTATATGCGAAAAGTTCTCGATATCAACAATCTATGAATCTTCTACTTTGCTAAAATTAAATTTCGTCTTAGATAGATAGATATTTATTTAATCTCTTATGGTTGCTTTACAACATGACATAAGTTACAGTACATAAAGAGAGAAAAAAATCTCATTGGATATAAACAGTAAGAAAAAACATCACAAATATCCTAGTCATTACATATTAATTAAGAATAATAAGAATATGCCTCATTACTATGGAGCACCTCTACATATTATTATTATTATTATACACAAAAAAACCATTTTATGACCTCTAAAAAATTATTTATAATGCTAAATAAATAAAAAAACGAAGCAGTGTCGAACAATCATTTGTACAAATGGCCATTCTTCCACGAGCCTGCCTATACATTCTAGAGGCAACCTCTTATATTTACAACAAACAAGTCTCGACATGAGTTGACTACTCACTCTAACATCCATTCACATATAGCTAGATATAAAAACTTATTGTATTAACTTTGTAGAATGACATGTTTTCCAAAAGATTTGAAGTCAGTCAAATTACACCAATACACAACTCAGGTAATGCTAGCCTCATTGGAAACTAAAAACCTCACAGTATTCTCAGTCCCCTTCAATTTTTTTGAAAAAGTATTATATAATAGGATTTATCATTCTATCGCCCCAGCCTTGCAGGGCTTTTTCGTATTCATTTTGGATGAATCATGCAGATGCAGATTTTGCTTCTGCTGCTTGAGAATTTGGTGCAGGCAGATTCATAAGATATTCTGCTTTTGAAGAGGCGATAAGTCGCTTCCTGGCTGCACGCCTTAGTTTCCTAAGTCTGTTAATTGGATCAGGAGTTGGAGAACTGAGAAGATCTTGCTCTTGATCCTATGTTACAGGAAGGATAGTTACGGTAATTCAGTCGACGTCCATCTCCTCTGTAGACACAGAGTCGGATTCATTGGTTACTTCAGGGTTCCTTAGGTTTCACGAGTAGCTAGAGAAAGTTCTTTCACCGTAGAACCCCGCATTTTGCTTCTGCCCGTTATCTCAAAAGATCTGTTTGTGACACTGAGTGGGCTTTCAGCTTCGGATGGGGTCATCATTTAGGAGGACTCTTAACCTCCATAAGTGACACCTCTCCAGGCAAAGGTGTTCTAACCAGCCCCGCTATAGGTCGGTGCAATAAGTAACCCAAGGTATCAAAAATTTGTCTAAAAGTTATTATTTTACATGAGCGCCGAGGCGGGTCGCTAGTAGCACATATTCTTCATGATTATTACATACACTTCACAGAAAATACAATGAGGATAATGTAATTTACAATGGATTCATGCTACTTTATCACCTATGAACTTATTACTCACCTTTCAACAAGTCATGCTCATGAAGCCAATTCAAATTAGTCAAGTCATCGTCACTTCTGCTTTGACTTTGTGCTACTGCCAACAAAATAGAAATAGGTGATTGAGCATTTTGAATGGGAATTCCAGCAACAGGACTTGCTGGTACTGACATTACTGGAGTTGGCACATTCTCCTCTTGAGGCGTAAGTGCCCTCTCTGGTGCCATTTCTAGCTAAAACAGAGTAAATAATTGGAAATTTTGTAATCCAATTTGAATCAATCATTAATGTATTTAGAGGATCACCTGGTACGGGAGTATTTACTTTAAATGTGTAGGCAGATCGAAAATAAATCAGTATTTGCCTAGCTATTGTTTTATTCCTATGGTACAGTCAATAAAAAAAAACTGTTGAAAACCGTGTGGTTTATCTCACGAAAAATTCAATGTATTCAGTGTATTATGCAATGTATGTAAAGTTCGGGGACTTTCAACCAAAATATGTGAAAAAAATAAAAACAATGTATTTCTACTATTTTGTTGTAAATAACTAATCTCATCTGATTTCAAGTTGATACTATAAGTAATAGGGATATAACAAAGAAAAACTTAGAAGTATTTAGTGATACAGGTTGTTTGGAAGAAAAATATAAAAGAATAGATTTCCCTGGTTGTTCACGTCCCACGAAAAGTGTTTTCATTCTTACATAAACAACTGAAAAAAAAAAGATTAGAGGAATTTCAATTTAGTGGGATAGTTGTAAAATGTATTTCATTAAATTCTTTGAATAATTTTTATTTTGTTCTTCAGTTTCAAACTGATTTGGCTTGGAATGGTTTTTTCTTATCAGAAAACCCTCGCGGTTGTGCTTGTTTTATTCATAAGAATACGTTGATTTCCGAATTAATTTTGCTTTTTTTTCGTAGACCGTTACTGAAGTTGTATGCTTCTGTCTCCTAATTTTAATAGTGATTTGGAGGTAAGTGTTTAGGTTTACAGTTCAAGTGATTTGCAGTAAAAAAATAAAAATAATGTTAGATAGATGGAAGGTTGCAAACGTTGGAACTTTTTGTAGGAAAAAAGAAGTGAATTCAAAGAACATATTAAAAACCCACCATGAAATTTGCATGAAAATGTCCAACTGCAAATTAGATCTCACAACAGGAGATTTTTTTTTCTATTTATTGAATATAAACTGCTGACCACAATATTTTATATATATATTTTCAAATTCAAATCATTGATGAACATTTTAAAAATCACTCGATTTCAATCGCGATCTAAGTGCAGATGCCGTTAATGTCATATCTTTGCCAGATTTTTCTCATTACAAATAAAAAATACATTTATGTGCAACAACTGCTGAAGAAAAGGTTTTACTGCTTCTATTGCAGAAAGAAAAATCATAATACAGAATAATGTATATTTTCCAAATAAATTGATTGTGAAAAACGATGGGGGTAGGTTAAAAAACAAATTGTTTTGCCTGTCTTAATCCCATATGTAAATGAAAAAGAATTTGCAATATACAAGGCTGTAAAAGAATTCACCACTATTTGTTGCAAAAAGGAACAGTAAGTCACCATTCCAAAGAGTTTCAAGAGAATGACGTCAGACGTTCATTTGTTCAAGAAAACGTTGGTTTGCTTATAGCATAAAAAATAGCTGATTTTATCAAAAACAAAATTTGGTTTATCTAGTAAAAATTCTTACATTGAGGGTAGACAAGATGTTATCCATTCATCTAACCATACTTGATGAAGAATTATACAAAATTTTTAAAAATTCTTATAGTTTCATCGAATTGAAAGAAAAGGCTGACATGAAAATGACATGACATGACATGACATGAAAATGCCATATTCAAAGAAAAATGCCATCAGTTAAAATCTATCTTGATGAAGATGAAAAAGAGTAAAGGGTTTGCTGACAATACAGAAAAAAAGTTGAGTATCTGTCAGAAGGATATTATGTTAAGAAATCACCAATATTTCACTTTCCATGATAATAATTACGGAATTTCCACAATAAATTTTATTTAGGTTGCATTTCGCTATATGGCAGCTTCATCAGTTAGATTGGTGAACAGTACCTGAACAGTAAATAATGAAGATTATGAGTTGGACGTTTCAGAGGTGAACACAGAATTCTTGACTTCATTCACTTTTTCATTATTATCATACGATATTTTGACTTGATTTTCTTCGCAGTTAATGTTAATTAGGGCTAATATATAATACTTTCAGAAGCCGACCCTGTATGGTATTCACCTCAGTTTGGAGTAATAATAAATAAACCTGGAAAGGTGAGATTTGTTTTTGATGCTGTGGCAAAAGTAAACTTAAATGATTTTCTGATAAAGTGGCTAGATTTTCTTAGTTGGTATTTTATTTGAACTTTGACAAAGAAATATTGGTTTCATAGCGGATAGAGAGAAACGATAAAAGTGTACAACGCTTTCTATGGAGACGGCAGCAGTCAATGCAAGAATTTGAAATGGTTGTGATGATATTTGAAGCAGCAGTGGTTCAAGTTAATTATGACTCTCTCAAATAAGAGAGAATTCATTCACTGCGGAATGTTCGGACCAACCCATTGGTGTATTTGGGTTCATATGGAAGCACGTACACTTCAACAAGTGTTGGGCAGTCCGAAACACAAGACGTTGGAAAAAGAAAAGTATGGGATTTACGAAATAACCTGCGAGGATTGTGATAAGAAATATGTTGGTCAAACCAAACGGACTATATTAGCTTGCTACAAGCACGTTTCGCATGTTCCGTTTCATAGACCGCTCAACATGCTATAAATAACAACTGTAGAATAAGTGAGAAATATTTGATATTGTTGAGACCGCTACATAACGACATCAAAAAGTGCGGAATGAGTTCTATGAATAGCGACAAAAGTCCTATTTCGAATAGCCCTTTGTTTGGTTCAATACGTAATAATTCTAAATAAAAAAACAGATAAATATTAGAGATAATCACTTACATAGAGGAAATACATAACAAATTAGAGGTATGAAAAAAAGCAGGTAGGATCAAGCATAGGATCAATAACGGGTAGTAGTTAGGTAATACTAACCGTTGTAGTCTGGTAATACTAACAGGTAGTAGTTAGTTCACTAACATATAAAACACTATCATAGTAATAAAATTTAGTCATAATGATGTCCTGAGGACGCTAATTTGGTTAAAGAAACGCGCGTCGAGAGACCGTAATTTTTGTTCTGGTGTTGGGAAAGTGTTTTCAATAGATTCACAATAAAGTGTTTTTTGAATACGTTATGGATTTTCATCAAGTATTGGCGGTTCCATCAAATATATGAAACATTCAGTTGCATTCGAATTTTTGATAATACTCGATTTCGTTTATCATATTAATTTAGGAATTGATTTTTTACGGAAGCTCGGCAAAAATAGATTATAAAAGGCAGTATATGTCGATGAAATTTAATAATTCGTGGATATAAGTTCCTGAATTAGAATTGTTTCATGAAAATAGATGTGAAGATCAAATTAATATTCGTTCTATTTCGTATAAAAAACCGAATTACCCTATCATCAAAAACGAAGTAAAAAGCGATGAAAATACTGATTTCGAATCCTTTATTTCTTAAGTGCAGAAAAAAAAAATTTTGGAATAACTAAATAAACATGGAGATTTATTTTCGAATCGTCCTGGTAGAACTAACGAAATTTGTCTTCGCGCGGAACGAGAATTTTGTTTGAAGCAATATCCGATTGCTTTAGCACATCGAACAACATTTATACAAAATAGACATTCTGGAGGAATGGGGAATGCTAACTTCCTATATATCTCCACTGATGGTCGCTTTAAAGAAAGACAATTCAGTAAGATTATGCTTAGACGCCACATTCTTGAATAACTTAATTGTGAATGAACATGACTCGCTGGAAACAATTGAAGATATTTTTGTGGATCAATAAAAAAGTTTTCAGTCATGTCATCCCTAGATTTTACTTGCGGGTATTATCAAATTCTTCATTCCTCTCGGCAAGGAGTCGCGTGAATACAAAGGTTTTAAATTCAACAGTACGACCTATTTTTTTTGTCTTTCTGATTAACTTCGAGCGTCAGTGTTTTTGTTCGCTGCCTCTCGGAAGTTTTCGTATCAGAATTCGATAATTTTTTACCCATTTTTGTGGACGATAATTTAATAACGTCAAAAAATGTGTAAGAACATTTGATAGAAATTTTTTGTTTGTTAGAAAATTCGTTATCTATACAGACATGACTACTACTTATTTGAAAACGTGTCGGTAATTGTCAGCCCGAATAGCACGATATGCATTAGCTCGTCAAGAATTCGATTATGATTTGGTGCAAATATTATCTAGCAGTAAAAATTTTGTAGCAGATATTTTGTCAAGGCAAGCTGCTACGAGACTACCTACTCCCGAAGATAAGTTACCCGGTGACGAAAATCTGAAAATGCGGTTTTGTATAAACGACGGTATTCTCTACAGTGCATTTCTTTAATGCCCCCCCCTTTTTATTTTTTGAATGGGTCAACTCAAAAAATTAAAATTTTGGATAATGAAATCAATGCATGAATACTTTATTTTGAAGTGAAATTGACAGATGAAACTTTCAAGATGGGAACTGGGCGCCATTTTGAAGCTCCTGACGAATACTTCACAACCCTAGCATATGAAGTCAATATCTTCACCAACTACAAAATGGCGGAACATTTAATAATTTCTTGAAGACAAACATTAATATCGATATTTCTAGAAATATTTATTTTTATCTGCCATATGGCAATTCCAACAAGCCGATAAGGTTTGTGAAGTTATTTTTTGTTTATAAAAACTACAAAAAATGTCACTACGACAATGAACATCATTGTTCAGTTAGAATATTCTCATTTAGTTTTCGGTTTTACTAGTAGAAAGGTACCACGTCAACAAACTCTAAAATGGTCTATTCTCGTCTTCCGAATCGTCCTATCTGTAGAAAATATTTGAGGGAACTTGTATCAAAATTCACAACTACCGCTATTGTACATAACAAAAAGACCCCAGGTCATCCGTCCATTCCGGAAGAACAGCAGGTGCAAATAATTGGTGAGATGATAGTAAATCCTGAACAGTCTACTTATTCCGTCGCGATTGTTGTGAGGTGTCTCCTTCTACTGTGTGGAGACTTTTGAAGAGGAATAGGTATCAACCATGCAAATTAAACCAATTAACTGAAGATGACCCTGATCGGAGAAAAGAATTCTGGGAAATCATTATGGAAACCACTGCAAGGCATCCTACCTATCTCCACAAAATTTGTTTTAGTGACGAATGTACATTTTTTTATAGGACAATGTTCACAGACAACATTGCCGTTATGGGAGTGACACCAACTCTTGAAGTTTTCCGGGAAACACATTAACGTTTGGGCAGGAATATTGGGAAACCATATTGTAGGACCTCTATTTATTGATCAATCAAAATTTAACAGGGGAACTGTATTTGAATATGCTGGAAACTACTGTTGGCCCTCTCACCACTTAAATCGTCGAAGCGAATCCTTATGAATTCGATATGGATATTGTATTCCAACAAAGTGGAGCACCACCACATTACTCCAGACAGGTTAAAAACTATTTGGATACTACTGTTCCCGGTCGTTGGATTGGCCGTCGAGATCCTACAGAATGGCCAGCCCGCTCGCCACCTTTGGACTTTTTTATGGGGCTATTTGAAGCAAAAGGTGTACGAAACTGAACCTGCTTCAATATTGGATATACGGTAGAGAATAATGAATATTTATAGAGATATTGACGTTACCGTGTTCGAAAATGTTGTAGGCTGTTCATATGTTAAGAAGTTCAAGGCAACCATTTCAAGCATCTTCTGAATTGACCTCAAGCTTATTACCTCATATTATGTAGTTAAATGTCAAAATGTATTCAGGCAATTATTAAAAGTTTCGCCTTTTTGTAGTAGTTGAAGATATTAACATTATATTCTAGGGTTATAAAGCATTAGTCAGGAGCTTCCATTCAATTTTTTTTTCTCAGATGGCACCCAGTCGACATTGTGAAAGTTTCATCTGTCAATTTCACTTCAAAATAAAGTATTCATGCATTAACTTCATTATCCCAAATTTCAATTTTTTGAGTTGACCCGTTCAAAAAATAAAAGGGGGGGAAATTAAAGAAATGCACTGTATATTTACTTTGGGTTCTTGTGTAACTAACGAAAATGATTACATTTGCATGCCATGAAGTTTTTGGACATTTTGGAGCTTACAACACGTGTTGTGCTTTACGAAATTAGGTTTGGTGGACCAATATTCATACAACTGTTGAGCAAGTTATAAAATCATGTGAGCTTTGTCCAATGCCAGTTCCGGAAATGCAGCCAATTCTTCAGGTAACGAGAAACGAACTGATTGCGGTAGATTTACATGGTCATCTTCCTCCAAATCGTGGGGGTGCGACGTTTATCTTCGTGATTTTACACGTTTTCACGAAACTGATTAAAATTTATTGTATAAAAAGGGCTACCACCTCTGCTATCCTAAACCGGTTAATTAAGGATATTTGGAAAAAATTCGTATATCAAAGAAAATATTAAGGGACCACCACGGTACACAATTCACTTCTGTTGAGTGGAGAAAAACTTTGGAAGCTTTAGAAATCAAGATAATGTTTAGCTCCGTGAGACACCCAGAAGCAAACCCGTCAAAGCGCGCGATGCGAGAGCTGGGATGTTTGTGTAGAACGTTCTGTCACGAACAGCATACAAAATGGGCTTTTGAATTGCCGAGATTTGCCGAATTTAGGAACAATCTGGTTCATGAATCAAGGGGTTTTAGTCCAAGAGTTACATTTGGATGGCCGAAGGATTCGTTTGTTGCCTAATCACTTCCGAGGACTACGCACTGATATGGAGATACAGGCATATGACCAGAAGCTGATTTTAGCTAGGGAAACCTTATTGGGAAAAGCTGCACGCAGAAATGCAAGACAACCAACAGTGTGAAATTGCAATTTCGAAGTAGGGAATATGGTGCAAGGTAGTGTCTATCTTCAACATGAAGTCGATGATTTCCCATGAGTTGAAAATAAAATTATTTCAGAGTATCATTTCTCGAACTAGGCTGAAGCGAATGACAAACAAAATATTTGTCATCGCCCCATCTGCCCATGAACGAGGTAACCAACCGCATATCCGTATTTGCCCAATTCCTTATCCAAACAGCTCGAAACTGGTCTGCAAGTATGTTTCAATAATTGAAAATCGATTCCAGCAGTTGTATCGCCAACAGCATATGCAGGAATAACTTCAGTGAAGAATCCTGTACTGACACCTGTCAATAAAATCCAACGCCCTTCGTGGTATTAGCTAGGGAAGTAGTTGTTTTGTAATAGGTGGCAGTCCATAAACCTACAGTGTAGGTACTATGAGACTGGCTTGAATGAATTGTTCTTTTAGATAATTTTATTTACGGCCAGCCATGGGTAGATGGGACGATTACAAACATATTGTTTGTAGTTAGCTTCAGCCTAGTTCGGGGAACGACACTATGAATGAATTCGATTTTCAATTGTGGGAAACCATCGACTTCATGTTGATCGACACTACCTTGCATTGACGAGTGGCCAAACAGCCAATACATAATTGAAAATCAATTCCGGCAGTTATATCGCCAACAGCATATTCAATAATAACCAGTGAAGAATCATCTTTCAGATATAATCGAACGCCCTTCGTGGTATTAGCCAGTGTAGTAGTAGTTTTCTCCCTACACCTACAGTGTAGGTAAGTTGAGACTGGCCTGAACGAATTGTTCTTTTGGAAAATTTGAATGAGTAATAGCTTATTCATGTATTTTAACAAACTTTTGAGTTTTATGGAGGAATCACCCAAGAGCCTATTATCTAGTTTGTTTGAGTAAACAAATGAAATGGTTCATTTTTGGTATAGGGTGTATAACATAAACTCACATTAGAATAATGCCAAGTATTAAAAAATGTGAAAATATACTGTACCAACTTCCGGTCTAAGGAAGTGCTGAAAAAACACCATTATTTTCATTTGATAAAGCATTTTGAGTAATCTTTATTTGCCAATTTTCAGGATAGGAATTAGCCGTATCCCAAAATACGGCTAATCGATGGTCATCAAGCTGTACATGGTACATAGTAGATACTTCTTCTAGAAATACGTTTCATGCATATCACCCAATGTTATTTGTTATGAGTATTTCTCATCATATTATTATGTGAAACAAGGACATGGAATTATTCACATGATCGATTAGAGAAAAACTCATAACAAAAAAACATTGTTGTTATTTTTACACTGTCATTGATCTTGCTTAAGTTGTTAATACTTTAGTTAATTAAGTTAAAAGCCTGAACATGTACTTTGAATATGTATAATAGTTAATTTTCTGGATTTATTTTCTATTTAACACTATCATCCTCTGTTTTATATTTACAATGGGTTAAGTATTTGTTGTATATATACTATTTGTTTTTCATTTTTCATTTGAAGATCAAGTTATTTTAGTATTGGTTTATGTACTTCATACTCAATGTCATATTTACATTGTTTTTCTGTTATATAGAATAACACAATGTATATTATCATTACAATAAAATTCAAGTGAGGTCTGTATTTTTTATATTTATTTTATTCACAATCCACATTTTCCATATTTTGTTCCTGTTATTGGGTTGTAAACTGTTGTACATGCAGTCTAAATAAAACTTATCTTGAAATTGAGTTATATCATTTTTTGTGTGTGATATGCAATGATAGATAAATGAAAAAGTCATTATTTTGAAGTTGGTGTCCACTTCATTTCTTTCATTATACTCATAAAATATGCAATGGAATCGGCAGATACTTGATGAAAATCCATAACATATTCAAAAAACACTTTATTGTGTGTGTTCCTGTAAAACTGCTTAATATATATCTCACAATAATATTTTTTTTAAATATATAATACATAAAATAATATTTATATGGATATGAGCCAGATAAGTTACAAAGACTTGGCTAATCTCAAACCTGTTATTGAGCGGATCACAGTAGTTTAAACAAATGTAGTATGTAGATAATTATTCTGTCAAAATAATAATTTCAATTTACTTACTAATGAAAATACTTTCAGTTTTCTCAGTTCTGGTATCTAAGAAACAAATTTGGAATAAAACAGAACAAAAAATAGTTGATTTCTTAATTGAAAAATCTTTTACGTATTCCCCCAAAGAAATACCTCAAATATTGTACTCAAATAAAAAACCTAATTAATAGGATAATGGAGATTGATATAATCCCAAAATTACTGAAAATTCAGATCTTCTCAAATTTGATTTAGATCTGTAAGCTTAACAGCATACTTTTATATTTATATATGACTTTGTCAATAAGATATATTTCTGATTGATTGAGTAGTAGAGTCAATAAAATCTTCACGTAAAAAAATCAATTAAAAGAAAATAGGAGAATGACTATAGAATTATGTTCCAAAAAAAAAGAAATAAAAATGGTTTTGCTATCCAAACAGCTGTAAATACTTGTTGACCCTAATAAGGAATTCTGTTAGTTTTTTGAGAGCTTATCACTTTATTGATTTCATTAATGGAATTTGGTCAATATAATAAGTAATTTTTGGAGGAAAAAATATACTGCATACTGGACACTTGGGTAGTAAGTCACTACATGCATGAAATTAAATTGCATGGAAATAATATGTCTCAATACTTTCTAAAAGTTTCACATTATTTTAGAAGACTCAAACACGAAATGTTGAAATAAATTTGAACCACAGATTGAAAAAAACATTCAAACCACAAATAATAACAATTTTATAGTTCATTGTAATATTTCTAAAGATATATTCATTTATTTATGTGAACATCTGTGAAAATACCTGATTCTCAAAACTCCTTCAAGAAAAAAAATTCTCACATAATTTTTGGTTCAAACACATCTCTTATCTAATAATTATTTCAAAATTTTCTTTGACCACATTTTCACATTCCACATAACTACAACAGTGAGCTGACGAAAATTCACAGCGTTGCCATTCATGAACAACAGACGCAAGAAATAGAGCTAAGATATTCTGTGATAGATTCATGGAAACGATTAAAACATCATAGATATTATAATATAGAGTAAGTATATATAAATATGTATGGGCATAATAAATCTGAACTCTACATAACCTAAAACAATAGTTGACTACACTGAATAATCAAAATTATCTTTAATTCACTTTAAATACAAGAAACATTTCAACTGAAACTTCAACTATTATTTGAATGTCTATCGCCTTACTAAATCACTTCGCGTACCGCACTGTAACGTCCACTTGACTGTGTCAATATCCTCGTAGCTAGCCTTTAAATATCATAATCGAATGCCGTAGAAATTTCGCTGAAGTTCCGTCAAAATCGGTAGCATTATTCTCGTTACTTCTAGAGTGGTGGAGAATCATCATACATTCGCACGCTCTTAACTACGTCACGTTTGGATTATGGTTACCAGTGGCGGCTGGCGTTATTTTCTTTTGGGCATGATTTATAATACTACCCCCGTCCCTAAGGTTGTTCCCCCAACAACATTCCAAGAGGGGACATCACGACCCATGTAAAGACTCAGCCTCTCTTAGGCTTGCTTCTGGGTGACAATTGTATTCTGTACACCAGATCGTTTATCTTTTTGGTAACCAAGTAAGGTCCTTGCCAGTCTCTGCAACTTGGGATATAAACCTTTCCGACGTTGGGGTTGGTAGAGCCACACTGCAAGCTCACTGGGAGCGACTTTTTGTCAAATATCATCTTCATCCTGTCGCTGGAAAGCTGTAATTTGGTCCTGGCAAATTCGTGTACATTTTTCAGTCTCTCCTTCAGGTCATTCACATACTCTGAAAGAGGTATTCTATTGCGACCCTGATCCGAGTGTAGTTCTTGGGGTACTCCGTTCCTGGCAATTACGTTCTGCAACAGGGCTTCTGCTACCGTTTTAGCCTCTTGGTTGGGTACGGCTACTACTCCAGGCCATTTGGAGAAGTACTCCATCACAATTATAAGGTACTTTACCGGATGTGGTCATAGGGAGTGGTCCCAAAATGTCGACTGCGATTCTTTCAAAGGGCACCCATTGAGGTACTGCTTCAACTTTCCTCTCTGCCTTGTCTTCGGACCCTTTCTCGAAGAGCACAGGTCATAGCGCTCAAACCACTCTTCCACGTCTCGACGGCAATTGACCCAATAGTACCTCTCACACACTCTCGCTAGAGTTCTATTTACTCCGAAATGCCCTCCAGAGTGACCATCGTGGAGCTGTTCAAGGATACTCGGGGTACACGCCTTAGGAAGGATCGTCTGGAATCTGTGGGTTCTTTCATCCGGGCTTTCCCATCTCCGAGTAAGTAGGTCATCTCGAATGCTCATGGAGTCCCATTGGAGTCAGTAACTCTTTTCCTGCTGGTCGTGCTTGGAAATCTCTTGCCATTCCGGTCTCGCTCCTTTGGCAATCCATTCTCGTACAGTTTTCAAGATGGGATCCTCCTTCTGCACTACGATGATGTCTTGCCTCGTCAGAAAGGTAGTGTCACCGTCAGAGGCTGTTGAGGACCGTACCACACCATTTGATACCTCAAATTGTCTGTTCCTATCCCTGGACAAGGACCCTTACAGGTTGCTTGCATCCGGCAAAATTTGCTGCGTTTCCGTGACTCTTTCCTTTCTGATGTTGAATTTCAAAATCGTAAGTTTTTAACTTTTCGATCCACCTAGCTATTGTCCTTCTGGTGTTCTGAAGTTGAATAGGTATCGAAGTGCTGTGTGGTCTGACCTTATCAAAAATGCGGCCATATAAAAAGGAGTGGTAGTGATCCACCGATTTGACCATTGCGAGGAGTTATTTTCTAGTAACGCGGTAATTTTTTTCGGATGTTCCCAGGAACTTACTAAAATAGCTGACGACTTCTTCTTCCTCTTGTACCTGGGAAAGTACTTGTCCTATTCCAAGAAATTAACTGTTTACTGAAAGAGGCAGCACTTCTTGGTATTGATCTACAAATGAGCATTGCGCTCATGAAAACACTCAAGTTTGACAGATTTTCGTCAAAACTTTTACGGTCACTATAATGTCATCAAGATAAACGAAGCACGTTTTCCAGGTAAGTCCTCTCAGCACCAACTACATCAATCGTTCAAATGTCGCGGGTGCATTGTATAATTCGAACGGCATGAACTTAAACTGATATAATCCATTGCCGGTGGAGAAGGCAGTCTTCTCTTTATCCTCGAGGCGAACGGCCACCTGCCAATATCCGTTTTTCAGATCTAGTGTTAAGAACCATCTGCATTCGGCCAAGATGTTCAGGGTGTCATCTATTCTAGGAAGAGGGTGAGTGTCCTTTCTGGTGACATCATTTAGCCTCCTGTAGTCTAAGCAAAATCTCGTCGATCCATCTTTATTAGTCACTAACACAGGTAACAGGTGACGACCAGAGGGTTTTTGATTCCTCGATTACTCCTTCCTCCAACATGTCCTTAACAACGGATGTAGCTTCGTCTTGCTTTGAGAAGGGAAGACATCTCGGTGGTTGGCGTACGGGCTTGGCATCGCCAGTATCGATGCGATGTTAAACTAGATCCGTTCGATCAATGATTTTGCCCTTCACAAACATATCGTTCTCTTCTTCGACGAACCGGGTGGCCTTGCATAGTTCTTCTTTAGACAGATGGTTTCACGTATTTTTGAAAGAGTCTATGAGCTCCTTTGCGGGTTGTTGAGCACGCTGTAGAGGGACTTATTCTTCGATCCTGATGATTTTCCTCGATAGGTTCACAGGTGCCTATTACTTGCCCTTTCTTGAGAGTCATCCTGTTATTATTAGGGTTGATTATTCTTACTAGAATGGTCGACGAGGGATCTGGCCACGATAATTCCTGATTCAGAGCCATTGGATGGCTCTCTCAATGCTGTATTCAAGCCGCCAGGTCCAGCAATTTCCGCTTGAATAATTTTCTCGGTATTGGGAGAGATTCTGGAATCTTCCAGTATAACCACCTTGGCGCTGTCTCTCATTTCCAACCTTCAACAGTTTGTTTCTTATGTCAGCCACGAATCCGTAGAGGGACATGATGTCTAGTCCCAGAATGAGAATTCGTCGACGATGTTGGCCACTAATACCTTTGTTTCTATTTCGCAATTGCCAAGCCTCGGTCTCACTTAAACTTCTCCATAGACTGTCAATCTATTTCCAGAACAGGTACTACTGATAATTTTTTCAAAATGCTTGTTAGAAATGTCGGCTCTCATTAATCGTTGCTCCAGTATCGATGGCGAAAAGGCACTAATGATTATTCAGAAATCCGTAGACAACTAAGCTGTTACTGTTGCGTCCAATCATGGAAATCCAATACCTGGGGGCTTGGGATGCAGTAGCCAATGTCCTTTTTTTAACGTAGGCTGAATTTGGTTTTTCCAAACCCTGTCGCTCCAGTTCGCGTGATCTCAAACGTCAGTCCCTTCTTTTTGGAGGTGATGGACAGTCCGCCTTAAATGTCCTTCTCTGCCGCAATTATAGCATTCAGGCCGTCTTCTTGCCTTGGGTGCAGTTCCATTCGTCACCAATGTCCTTTTTTTAACGTAGGCTGAATTTGGTTTTTCCAAACCCTGTCGCTTCAGTTCGCGTGATCTCAAACGTCAGTCCCTTCTTTTTGGAGGTGATGGACAGTCCGCCTTAAATGTCCTTCTCTGCCGCAATTATAGCATTCAGACCGTCTTCTTGCCTTGGGTGCAGTTCCATTCGTCAAATATTTCTCAAAGAGTTCTTCAAGACCGACCATCAGTCGATCTGTTCCTTTGTCTTCCTTTTCATTGATGACCCTCACTAGAACCTTTCGTTGTTGTCATGAAGCATTTTTAGCAGCTTCAAATTCTAGGGCATAAATTATGGCTTCATTCAATGTTTTATGACGTGCCATTCTCAATAACTGCTGTAGCCCCGTGTCACGAACCCCGTCGATGAAACTATGGACGCTAATCCAGTGGGTGAAGTTATCAGGTTCTTCTAGGTAGGCGAGTCTTACCAACCTTTCGACTTCAGCCCCAAATTCTTGCAAACTTTCTGAGGGACCCTGAGTTCTCACCTTCAATTGAGCTTGGTAGACTTGTTGAAGGTGCTTACTACCATATCTGACCTCCAAACCTGATACGACTGCTTCATAATCCTTCTGCCTATTCACTGGAATATTTGCAGAATTTCTGAGGCCTTTCTTCGTAGTGTCAGTATAAGAGATGTTGCTTTCTCTTCATTTTTCCATCCATTATTTTCCGCAGCGGCGATAAATTGACCATGAAGATTCGCCATAGAAAGTTGGAGTTTTAATAAAACTACTGCTAGAAGGGAGAGGTGTCGCTTCCGATTTGCATTTTTCCACAGCAATCCTCTTCGGTTCCGGTAATAATTTCCGAAGTTCCCGAAACTTCAACTATTATTTGAATGACTAACGCCTTATTAAATCACCTCGCGTACTGCAGTGTAATGCCCACTTGACTGTGTCGATATCCTCGTGGCTAGCCTTTAAATATCGTAATCGAATGCCGTAGCAATTTCGCCAAAGTTCCGTCACAGCATATGTAACAATGTTAACTATACTGTGGTTCCGTCGAAATCGGTAGCATTATTCTAGCTGCTTATGCTTACCAGTGGCGGTAAGCATAATTATGCATTAATTAATGTTTTTGAATAGATTTTAATTTTTTTTTAATTTCATTATTTTCATTATCAGATACATCAGTAATTATTGTGGTTGATTGTAAGACCGAGACAATAAACTCTTATGATGTAAGAAATAAGATACATATGTTTTCGAATGAAAATTGGAAAAATATCTAAAGAAAACTGCATCGATTGTTGTTTCATGTCTTGTGGTAGGCTCATTCCGGTTATTATTGATTTGTAATTATACTTTACCTTGTAGAATGTTCACCTAGAGTTGTCCATCTTCGGACGCGAAGTTAACATTGAAATCTCCTGCTAAAATTAGTGGCAACGT